ATTATGTAGGGTCTTTTCAATATGCTGGTCCTCCAAGTTCAAGACAGACAATGGGAAAATTGGAGAGGATCCAGTGGAGGTTGGAGAGGGTTGGAGAACTTGGCACATGAAGAAATGTTGAAGGAATTGGGTTTGTTCAGCCTAGAGCAGAGAAAGCTTGGGGTATTCTTCGCTGAAAACAACTGAACATTGGAACAGGGTGCCCAGATAGCTCGTAGAATCTCCCTCACTGGAAATACTCAACACTTGGCTTGACAGGACTCTGAATAGGGCTATTCAACAGACAGTTAAATGAAATGACCTCCAAATATCCCTTCAATCTGGACTTTTCTATGATTTTATTCTATGATTTTGGAACTGTAATGGACTACCAATACCCCCATTAGGCTACATTCAATTGTCACTGAGCAAATGAGGTCAGAATCTCAACTCTTCTTAACCAAACTGGCTGATATAAACAGTGACAGAAATAACAAATGTAAGTTGGTGAGGAAACAGGCACCAGTAATGTGTTTCTATTACACATTAATTGATGGGGCATGAATCTGATGCTATGTATGACTGATTGCATTGCTACAGGCAAAATAGAAATGTTTGCTCTCTCCATTAAAGTATACCAGCTTATCTTAAACCACATCTGGAGCCAAATTCAACCTTTACTCTCCAGCAGCAGAGTAATGCAGAGTTATGCAGCAGGAAAGCACAGTTACACTAGAAATGAACCTGATCCCTACCTTTTAGTCTACTGGTTTAAATTTTGTCCTTCTGATAACTGTTGTATTAGTAAGACAGTTGAACTTGCTTCTTTTCCAATGCATATAGAGATGTAACTCAGAGGGGCTGACACTACTGTTTGCTATTTCATGGTAAACCTATATACATGACCTTAATGCCTAGCACAGGATCACGTGAGTTTATGATACACCAGCAGTCTAAAAGGTAGTTTTCTCACACTTGCAGCTGATCTTAGCAACCTGATTGATTGAAAATGATTTACTGAGAGACTGAAATGAATTCTTGAGGTGATGTCAAAGATTGTCTTAAGGTGAGGATGCATGGACAAGATACAGCTTTCCCTGGTAGGTACAGAGAGTTGTTCAGCCCCTTAGGAATATAACCATGTAAATGTTTTATTCATGTCAGTTATTCACATAAGTGGGTTTTACTTTAGTGTGTAACATAAGCCAGCTGGTTTGCTTCTTTTAAACTCTGATTTCTCATGCACTTCATATTGCTACACCCCCTTCAGAGATATTTATGGACATTTCACAGCAAGCTCTCTCAAGCTTATGTGCCATTAAGATTCCATTCTGGGGTGTTTACTGCATTAGATTTATAACATACAGATTTATGGACTCAGCTACTTGATGGCCCAATAAAGCATGTTGGAACTGAAGGCAACTACTAATTAAAATAATACTTGATTGTCCTTAGCATATTGTAAAACTGCTGTGGATTTAAACAGAGCCACTGCAGTTCCTATAAAGCCTCACAGCCTAACTGCATAGTAAGAAAACTGACAATTCGCATGTAAGATCAGTTTATTTGTGGCTACACTTGAGGAATTATAATGTTTTTCTATCTGTTTGTATACATGGAAGTGAACTAGTGCTGAAATACTTTCAAGCGCCCTGTGGCTTTGGCTGTTCTAAACACTAAAGAATGAAACTTCACAGCCAAAGGGAACAAGAAGGTTACAGTACTAGTACCAGGGCTGTAAAGTATCAACTATTCCACTAATCCCCATTTAAACAATTAGCTTAAATCCTACTGAAAAGGATCAGATGTTAAGATGCACCTCAAGCTAAGTTCCTCCTGGAAAAGCATATTTTCAGTGTTGGGTAGAATTTTCATCTTGAAATCTCTATCATCCCATGTTAGAAACAAGGGACTTGGGCAACGCTGCTCCTTGCTCTAAACAGTTAACATTCACAGGCTGACTTCATACACATTACAAAGTGTAGTAAGAGGCATGAATTTTCAAGCATGCAAACAGCCTGGCTTACACTGTAATTAGGAAACAGCGATGAAAGCAAAATAAGGAAATAGTTAAAATGAATATTAATTACCACCATGTCTTATTACAATGCTCTGTTAATTCTATTCGAATGAACTGCATTAAGAGCTCTTAACACCAGCGGGGAGGCTCCATTGAGAAGAATAGAGTTTTTTAGACAGTGGTCATGAAACGTGATTTCTTACCCTTCTCTGCAATTAAATGGACAGATTTTACTTGCCTGCCACAAAGACTGACATGCAGAACTTTACAGGACAGCTTACAGAAGGTAACAATGATGTAAAATCTGGAGCACTACCACTTGGAATGCCAGGAGCACATTAAGAAGAGGGAAAAACATTCATTGGCCCTTAACAATCAAAGATCAGATATGCAAAAATTCCTGAAAAAGCCCTTTCATGTCAACTACTGAATTAAAATCTGTAGTTTCAGGAAATGGGGGTAACACGCATCTGCAAAAGAGGGTTCCACCACATAGACTAGCTGAGATTCCAGTGTTGCTAATCTACATTTCACTGTCACATCTGCAATAGGTCAGCATCCAAGTGCAGAACTTCAGAAGAAATTTCTTGCACATATTCAGCAAATCCAGCTTTCTGCTGAGTCACCAAGATAAGTACTTATATGAGAAGCACAGTAACAAAACCAGCAAAAAAGAGAGAGGTGAAATGTTTGAGGAATATGAGATTTTTTTCTATTCCTTCTCTAAATGATATTTGCTATTATAGCTCGATGATACTATCTTCAATCTCAGTTTCCAATTACACAGGCATAAACCTACAGTACTGCAAGTGTTTTACCCAGAACAGAATCCAGCATCCACCTTTCTAACTGTCCTATAATGGCTCCCTGTATGAACAGATGGAGACCAAGGAAACAGTGCTCTATTTTAATAGCTGCTCTTGTTTTTATTTCCATTGCTATGAAATTGGCTTTTAATTCACTTTCATTTCCTAAGTTATTTTCCTACAATTTTTTTTGGTATAAATCCCATGTAGTAACCTACATCTGTCTGAAAAGAAAAGCCACCCTTTGATTAGAGCTGGAATGCAGTATCATATACTGTGTGTTTGGAAACCTCTGCAGAAAAAAACATGTCTGCTTTAATACATCTAGCTTGAGGCACCACGGGGTGAGTTGAGGACAACAGAGCAGTGGGTCTGAAAAAAAGGAAGAGCGATGTCCCTGCTTTTCTTGGCTTGCTCATACATAAATTTCAATGCTATTTACATGACTTTTGTAAGTTTGGGGTAAAAGTAATTTTATCTCTCTGCAAAAATTGATTTGCTGCCTTTCCTGCCTTTGAGGGACTGTGGAAGTCCACCTGCAAAACAGGGGCTTCCTGGCACCTACAAGAGTTAAACGATATGCAAATTTCAGCAGCAAGAATAACTTGCTCTTAATTAACCAAGGATTTACGATACATGTGGAATGGAGATGAACTATATTTTTCACTGATTATTTCAGTCTTTTAATAAGAAAAATAATGGGAATAGTAAAAAAGCCCTATTATATTAATCAATTTTCACTATCTTCTGAAAAAACAACATATTGTTCAATTCACTTCCTGAAGCTTCTGAGACATACAACAGGACCTACCTCTTTTTCATGCATCTTTCCTCCAGAATCAGAGAATACAATTGAAATAAAACCTTTCCATAGCATACAACAAATTCCTATTGCTTTTCTCAAGTAGGTCTTTGTAAAAAAGCTTTCATTTCTCTACCTAGCAGGCATATTATTATATCCTGCTGACATTAGCAGGATAGAAACCATAGTTTGGATTTGGTTAAAATAATACCTTTTTTCCCCCCCAATTTTTTTTATATAATGAATTTGTACTGCATTTTTTCTTCCAATCTGTCAGAAAAGTGATCAGTAACGAAATCTTACAGTTAAGGAAAGCCAAAAAGCTTAATAACAAGGGCCCAAGCTTAGTGCTTTGCTTTTTTGTTTTTTCTTTCCCCAGATGATTACATCTCCAAATGATTACTGCCTTTGAAGCTTTTGTGGAGGTTTTCTTTATGCTTTAGCCACTGTGTTATTGTAACATCTTATCAATGTCACCTTTGCTCTAGTCTCTGGAGAGTTCTGAGAAATTAATTTGTTTGCAATATCTCCTAAAGTCCAGGTAACTCCTGGTACAACATATTTTTCTGTAATCTGGTTTTTTGGGGTGCATAATAACCGCTCAGTGGGACAGTGTCTACCCTGAACACCTCCCAGTGCAATGCGTATTAGTTAATAGAAGTATTTCTAATAAGCCAGCTATGAATATGGCTTTGTCTTTGTCCCTTGAAAATGTAGAAAGCAAATCCTATGGACACTGGGGGTATCATTTTCATGGGGTAGAAATCAAGAACAAAAAATAGTACATATGCAGAATATACTATACACATGTGGAAGCTTCAGTGGCATGATCAATGGAATAAAAGTTGCTTATTCTGCAGCCAGTGACACCATGAAATGTCAGTATTTGGTGATACTCAAGTTAGTAAACCTCCATTCATCATCTGAAGTGTAAAGACTTTTCTTCTAAATTACTGGTATAGCAGTTGGAAAACTTGAATAATAAATGTAGCTAACTGCTTTCATTCCTGTTCCTTCAGCCTCTTGCAGCAACAGTACAACTTATTCCCGCACAAAGGAGCAGGATATGACCTCAAAAAAAACCCCATCAGTAACTAGACTTAGGTGAAACCAGAGCACTACCTTCTAAAAACCTAAAATTCCTTACCTCCTTCCTCCTTACTCAGTTCTCACTGATTTTCAGTTGGATTTGTGACCGAGCCCTCTAGGACCTTTGGTCAACGAGGTCACAAAACCCAGAAAAGAATAAGTGATATTGGCAATAAAGATATAAATAAAGCCATGGCAGCTTTTGTTACTTTACTCATTTTTCCATTAATTCTAGGTATAAAAATGTGTTTCGTTTCATGTGGTTTTATTGAAACTCTGACCCATTTTCCCCAGAAGTACTCACTTGATGAAATATTTGATTCCATCTGCCGTATAAGCTTCCTCCCATCCATAAGGCAGACCTAAGACGGAATAAAGAAGTAAGATGTGTCTCAAACCTTAAGTGACACAAAGAACATAGTTTTGAAGTGGTATAAATTAAAATGCTGTAATTCCAAACTATGTCATAAAAAGATTACAAATGAATTCTTGCTATTTTGTAACAGAAGAATTTAAACAATACAATTTAATGAATATTTGCCGTGCTACAAAGCTATAAACCATTTCATGATACTTTCACGAATAGCATTTCTTTTGTAAAAGCTGACAGTCTGGTCAAATCAGAGTGTAGCAGTTAAGTATTATTGAACTTTTTATTGTAATTAACACCTATATAAAGTGACCAAAACCCTCCTTTGTTTGTCATCTGCTGATGTCTGTTTTTACAGCTGTTACATACAGATGAAAATGACTACATAAGGTAGAAGTCTGGGCAGAATGAAATCCACTGCTATTCGTTTTTGCACCAAGTTTTGTGTTTATACATAATTCTTTGGGAATTTAGGCACAAATTCCACACACTTAGAGACAGATTCGGAGAAAATATGTACAGGTATTTGTGTTCTTATCTATGTTACATATGCACTAAAAAAGGTTAATTTACTAAATGCATTGCTTAATTTTGTGATTTACACTAATGTAGTCAGTCATGCTAATCTTAAAAACTCAATCTTGGTGTTTGTTCTCAGTTCGAAAGTCCCATCCATGAGAATGATCACTAATACATAATACTGTTATTAGGGTGCAATACCGTATCACTTTAAAAACTAAATTTTCAGAGCAGACCTCTACCTTTTCAATTAATGTTTGTTCAACACCAACTGTTTGTAGGGTCTGAAAAGTGCTGGAGAAAGAAGCATCAATCAACGTGCAAAAATGCTCCGGATGGATGCTTTTGAGATACTGTACTGTAATGCAGATAAAGTGAAAGGTCCCGAAAAACCTCCCTTTTTTAGATACTAGAAATATGTATATGAAATTAAAATATGCACGAAAAATTATTCTGGAAGCGCTTTAGCTTGAAAGCCATCTCAAAATGTGTCTTAGGAGTTAAACTATTTTTATGCAAGTCACAGTATATCTCAAAGACCAGCTCATTAGAACCATCTGTGAGCCTGCTTTAGATTTAAAACTCTTATTTGGAAAATGTGCTGGCCTGCACGCACCATATGATCTTTGAAAACTGCTTCATACCACGGAATGCCCTAAGCACACACATTTATTTTGGAACTTCTTTCTCAAAAGGCTCATTTTCTTCTCTCCCATCGTCACACCTTTGTCTCTGGTGCGGTCCATACTTCTTAATCTGGAAAGGGCTAACTTCAGTTCTCAAGGATAAACAGAGTCATTTACAGCTACTGAATCACAACCTGGCACAGTGAAGCAGGTATAAACCATCTGAGAAGTAACTATACCTGTAGGCACCAAGTGAAGAGCAACAAGTCAGTCAGCCAAAACTCCAGAAGTCAGGAAGGGAACTTGAGAACCGGTAATTGCAGAACAGCACCATTACCGTTCAGTACAGCTTGAAACGCAAAGAGCTCACTGGATTACTTCTCCTTTCATTTTTACCCCGTATTAGTCACTTATCTCAGGCTTCTTCCCATTTTCAGTTTAGAACAGAGCTATACAATCTGTTCCTCAAAACATGCCACCTACTACCTTTCAGAGAGAATAATCCACATCTACTTCCCTTTAAATACAAGGTAGTTGCTGCATAAGAGTTTTCAGGCTCTGGCTCCATGATAAAGGAAGGAAGAAAAGGATGTTTCTAGTTACAAATATGCTAGACATGATCACAGGTTCTTCCTTCCTCTCCCATGAAATATGGGACCTTTCTTCAACATGGATATTTTCTAATCATTTAAATGCCAATAGGATTCATTCTTCAATTGCTTCCATCTGCCCAGGCCTTTCCTCATTCCTGCATGCAACGTGAATATCCAAAATAAATAAGAACATCTTTTCTAAATTATTAATAGAACCTCAGCATCTGCTCTGTGCTCACACGGATCCCCTCTATCACCTATTTCATTCATCAGTGATTATAACCCTTTTTTCACTAGAGAGTTGATTAAAGTTATGTTTTTTTTCTTATTTCTAAATGAAGAATGGTACGTAGGTAGTAATGAAAACTGATGCTCTGTATTCTTTTCTTAACACAAAAGACTCTGCTTTTAAAAAACACTGAATACATTTGTCACCTATAAATTAAATTCTGGAGATATCTCCACAGTTTTATTTGCCTTTTTGACTATATATGCATTAGATTGTATATCCTATCCACTCTTTATATGCGTCAAAGTTCCACCTACATCTGCAAGTTTTTTTAATGCCTTTCTTTTCCACATTTTTACTTTTCCTCCATTGGTTTTTCACTGCTGTTCCCTTTACTCATTTCCTTCATGGTTAGATTTGTACTTGTATCTCTTGGTATTTCCCATGGTAGCCAGAAGGCTCTTATGTTTTGCATCGTGTTTCCCCAGACATCATCTTCACTTCCTTCAAGCTCACTTTCTCCATGAATCATTCATAAGTTGATCTACTTCCTAGTGCTCTATTTTTTCACACCCTCCAGGGTCAGATTTGTTGCCTGTCCTAGGACTTGCTTTGAAAGACTGCTAAGCTCTCACCTGGAGTAAATGGGAGGTACAGGAGCTTAAACCATCAGAAACAGTCTCTGAAAGATACAAGATTTAGCCTATATAAACCCTGGCAATCTTAGGTTTCCTGAATATTTATAATTTCTTCTGTGAATTGCTGCAGTCTTTGATGAAACTTCATGAATAATATATCTTGGCTGCAATTGTCTGCATATATCCTCTTAAAGAAATTACAGATTTACAACATTGGAAAGTAATTTCAGCAGAAAATACAGGATTTCTTGCTGTTCAAACATTTGTGACTATTTATCTTTTGCAAGGTAAAGAAAAGGTAAAACTGCAAAAGAAATTACGCCTGCAAAAGAAATGGATACAGTTCAAAGCATCCTTTGCCCAAACAGAATAGTCTCCTGAGAGAGTGTGTGTGAGCCAAAGTACATTGTAACCTACCATTATTTTGCTCTAAGTATAAGCATTTAATTACAGTTAACGCAAAAGAGATTTCTATAATTCTATGTGAAAAATTAAAACAAGAAATCACTTCCTGTCATACGTATACCAGAACTGTGAGCTGGTCACCGAGCAGCGAGGCAGAACCTCTGGTGCCTGCCTGCCTCCTTGGCTGCACGATGCCTGCTGTGCTAACATGATTGTAAAGTTAACATTATATAACGCTGAAAGGAAATGAAACCCTAGGGCAAGCAAAATTTTCCTGACACTGATAAAGTGTGGATCTCATCGATCTTTATCACTTCCTGGGGTTAAAAGGACAGAAAACACATCAGCACTGATACTTGGTTGCTTGCAATGAGCAGAAAGATCAGCATCAGCCGAAGTTATAAACTTATATGAAGCAACAGACATTGAAGATTTTGTCTACTGCTTCCACTATACACACTTCCTTAATAAAAGCTGCACATAGCATGATCAATGCATGTCCCTAAAGGAAGAAGGGGGAAAATACAGATATTAGGAAAAAGCCTCATTTTACTAGGCAGTTACCAAACCTAGAAACTGTGCAGTAATGTAGTTGGGTGGGTTCTTTTTCCCCAGTATGTTAGTTAAAAAATACTAAAGTAAAAGAAATGTGGAGATCAGCAGATGAAACTAACAAAAGCAGATACCATAGCGTGAATATTCAGTTGACTCAAACCTGACAGTTGTTTCCCTAACATCTAATACTGCTGTCCAAATATGGTTTATTTTTCTTATTTTCTGACAAAATTACTCAAAGGAAATGCGAGATTTAGAGTCTATAGCAACAACTGTTCGAAAATTTGCTGTTCACTAGAATTCTATCCAGATTTAGCCAAAGCGAGACTATTTAAATGCTTCAAGATAAGCGTGTCCAGTGCTTTATTTTGACCTTAAGGCCAGACTAACACCCTGCTTCCATTATAAGGAGTCACACAAGCAGTACTGAGGAGTTTGAAAAGAGTGCTTAGGGATAGCTGCCTACCAGAGGGATAATCTCACCCCAAAACTCTTTTGTGAAGCATAAACTTATTTCCAGCAGCATTCACAGCTTTGTCATCCACCATAAAAAGGATGTCTGGCTACAAGTGGCTCCTGTTAAGGCTAAACAATCTTAGGTCTGTATCATTAAAGCACCTTGTCTGGAATTAATATGAAGTATTGTGCTTAAGGGATGTAATATCTATCTGGAATTGAAAAGCCACATAGTCTAAGTATTCTGTTTCGCAATGAACACATTCTTTGACCAACAACTGAAATAAGAATGTCTTTCCTTACGTATCCTTTTACCTAGCTTGGTTTCTCTTTTAAAGTATGTATATAAAGTAAGAGAGCATGAGCTAGCTCAGAACTACCCTTTATTTACCTCCTTATAATTTATTTATGTTTTAGGTTCTCAAAAATGATGACTTTTTTTAAGAAATAGAAAGTACCTGATGAAAGAATTTCTGATATACAAGATTTGCTAAAGGACGTTATAAATGGTTTTCTCTGTCACTTGATAAATGAGGTTTTGAATTCTGATCTCTTTTCAATATCCACCAATTCCAGCTCTTACCAACACTTAAACCTTCCTCATGTGGCCTCAATAATAATGTAAAATTTCTTAGCTGAGATCGCAAATGCCATTGGCTCTTCTCTCTGAGCTATGCAGGCAATGCAAAGAGGAAGGAAAGCTGACTTGCTTGCTCTGCGTTTACTGGTCTTGGGCTCTGGAGTGCTATAGGAATATGGGAATACCCCAGATAGGAGACTAGAGGTATCACAAGATGTGAGACCAGCAGAGGAACTCCTCTGAGTCAGGCAATTTGGCACAGCTAAAGCAAGAATTTGTGGAGAAACATCCAGCCTTATCAAGTGTGTTCAGTGAGGTTCAGGCATAAAAGGGCCCTTTATTTTTTGAGGCTGTCAATAATACGTACTGTATTTTACTACTTATTTGTGAA